GAGGTGTAATTTCGCATTATCTTACAAAATTCTGGAAATCCAACTAAATATATTCCGAAAGGTAATTAAATAGGCTTTCCAAGTATTATTAGTAAAAGTTGGCACAGTCATATTGAAGGGGTGCACTCTCATCCTAAACATGGCCAATTTTTTAAAAAAAAATTGAAGGGAAAGACTACGGAAGCTCAAATACGAACTATTTTTGTTTATTTCTTTTCCTATTTTTATTTTCAATTTTTAATTTTGAAAAAAAGTAATTTCGAATTTCTATTTTTAATTTTCGATTTTATACAATAATTTTCAATTTTGTACAATAATTTTCAATTTTGTACAATAATTTTCAATTTTGTACAATAATTTTCATTTTTGTACAATAATTTTCAATTTTGTACAATAATTTTCAATTTTGTACAATAATTTTCAATTTTGTAATTTTAATTTTTAATTTCTATTTTCAATTTTGTAAAATAATTTCTAATTTTGTAAAATAATTTCTGATTTTGTAAAATAATTTCTGATTTTGTGAAATAATTTCTAATTTTGTAAAATAATTTCTAATTTTATAAATTTGTTTTCAGAACCATCAGACCGCCCCGGTTCACTTACATCTTGTCCAACCTCGTGGGTTTTCTCCCACTGCAAAAGACCCCTACGCGCAAGCGAATTATTGAAATAAAATTAAACCCTAATTTAAGTTAGTCCCGAAATGACCTAGTTTGTGTCAAGTGGACGTTAAACCCCAATTTCCTTCATAGTACACTGTACGGCGTATGTCCGTCTTCATTAGTCTAGTCGAAGCAGAACAGTAGGACGTTAAACCACACTTCATTTCCCTGTCGCCATGGGACCCACGGTGGCTATGCGAGTAAGACACTGTCGGCCGAGAATGTTCATAGGTATTTTCAGGCGTGGTTTCCCCCTGTAAATGGTGCAGGACGGAGGGCCTAACAAAGACAGCTGTTGAGTCGTTCGGATGCGACGAAAACTCAAAGGCCCACCCATTGGCGTGCAGGTAAAAGACCCCTTAGCAGTTGAAATTCGATACAAGAGTAGGCCGTATAGCGCCGCTGCCCGGGCAAAATTTCCCTCGTAGCACACTGTATGGCGTATGCCCGTCTTCATTAGCCCAGTCGTAGCAGAACAATAGGACGTCAAACCCCATTTCATTTCATTTTATTGTCCCCCGCCTTTCGAAGAAAGCAGGGGACTATTAAAATGGGTTCGTCCGTCTGTCTGTCTGTCCGTCTGTCTGTCCGTCACACTTTTTGGGACACAATAACTCTCTTCCTAATTGAGCTAGAATGTTCAAACTTGGTGTATGTGTTTATTAGGTCAATGCCTTGATGGAGTTCGAAGATGAGCATTTTCCGCTTAGGGTAAGCAGAGATAAGCAATTTGATTGGTTGATGCTTTGGGACACGATAACTTTTAATTGAGCTAGAATGTTCAAACTTGGTGTATGTGTTTATTAGGTCAATGCCTTGATGGAGTTCGAAGATGAGCATTTTCCGCTTAGGGTAAGCAGAGATAAGCAATTTGATTGGTTGATACTTTGGGGCACGATAACTCTCTTCCTAATTGAGCTAGAATGTTCAAACTTGGTGTATGTGTTGATTAGGTCAATGCATTGATGGAGTTCGAAGATGAGCATTTTCCGCTTAGGGTAAGCAGAGATAAGCAATTTGATTGGTTGATGCTTTGGGACACGATAACTTTAGTTGTCCCCCGCCTTTTGAAGAAAGCAGGGGACTATTAAAATGGGTTCGTCCGTCTGTCTGTCTGTCCGCCTGCCTGTCCGTCCGTCTGTCTGTCCGTCACACTTTTTGGGACACAATAACTCTCCTTCTAATCGACCTAGAATGTTCAAACTTGGTGTGGGTGTATATTAGGTCAATGCTTTGATGGAGTTCGAAGATGAGCATTTTCTGCTTAGTGTAAGCAGAGATAAGCAATTTGATTGGTTGATGCTTTGGGACACGATAACTTTAGTTCTAATTAAGTGAGAGTGATGAAACTTGGTGCATAGTTTTATTACATCAGTACCTTGACTAAGTTCGATGATGAGCATTTTCTGCTCAGGGTAAGCAGAGCGATAAGCAATTTGATTGGCCGAGACTTCGGAACACAATAACTCTCCTTCTAATTGAGCTAAAATGTTCACACTGCTTCTAATTGAGGTAGAATGTTTAAACTTGATGTAGATGTTCGTCTTGACTGAGTTCAATGATTAACATATCGATCTCAAGCTAAGCAGAGATAAGCAATTTCCTTGATCGATGCTTTGGGACAATATAACTTTGATTCTGTCTGATAGAGAGTGATGAAATTTAGTGTATAGTTGATAAACAGTTTGATTGCTCGATACTTTTGAAAAAAATAGATGTGCGATTAATTAATATGTGGCATCTATTTATTTGCGGATTTCGGCGGGGGACATCAGCCTCACTGTTGGCTTGTTTTATTCAGAAATATATAGCTGGATGCTCAGAATTTTGTACGATGGTCCGAATTTTGACTCGGAATATTACCGTTCTTTCACTTTAAAATATTGAAAAATTGGCGACGTTTAGGATGAGAGCGCACTCCTTTAATATGATTGTGTCAACTTTTACTAATAATATTTGAAAAGCTTATTCAATTACCTTTCAGAATTTTGACTCGGAATATTACCGTTCTTTCACTTTAAAATATTGAAAAATTGCCGACGTTTAGGATGAGAGCGCACATCTTTAATATGATTGTGCCAACTTTAACTAATAATATTTAGAAAGCTTATTCAATTACCTTTCAGAATATATATAACTGGATGCTCAGAATTTTGTACGATGATCCGAGTTTGGACTTAGAACAAAATACCGGTTTAACTTTACATTTAGAATAATGAAAAATTGGCTATGTTCAGGTTGAGAGCCCACTCCTTTAATATGATTGTGCCAACTTTTACTAATAATATTTGAAAAAGCTTATTCAATTACCTTTCAGAATATATATAGCTGGATGCTCAGAATTTTGTACGATAGTCCGAATTTTGACTCGGAATATTACCGTTCTTTCTGGTGCTCAGAATTTTGTACGATGGTCCGAATTTTGACTCGGAATATTACCGTTCTTTCACTTTAAAATATTGAAAAAGTTGGCAACGTTTAGGATGAGAGCGCACATCTCAGAATTGTGTACGATGATTCGATTTTCGACTTCGAACAAAATACCGGTCTTTCTTTACATTTAGAATATTGAAAAATTGGCTATGTTCAGGTTGAGAGCGCACCCCTTTAATATAATTGTGCCAAGATTTACTAATAATATTTGGAAAGCTTATTCAATTACCTTTCAGAATATATATAGCTAGATGCTCATAATTGTGTACGATTGTCCGAATTTTGAGTCAGAATATTACCGTTCTTTCACTTTAAAATATTGAAAAATGGGCGACGTTTAGGATGAGAGCGCACTCCTTTAATATGACTGTGCCAACTTTTACTAAGTATATTTGGAAAGCTTATTTAATCACCTTTTAGAATATATATAGCTGGATGCTAGGAATTTTGTACGATGGTCCGAATTTTGACTCAGGATATTAACGGTCTTTGCCTTTAAAATGTTTTAAAAATTTGCCATGTTTAGGATGAGAGCGCGCCCCTTTAATATAATTGTGCCAACTTTTACTAATAATATTTGGAAAGCTTAATCAATTATCTTTCAGAATATATATAGCTGGATGCTCAGAATGTTGTATGGTGATCCGAATTTGGACTTCGAAAAGAATACCGGTCTATCTTTACATTTAGAATATTGAAAAATTGGGTATGTTCACGTTGAGAACGCGCCCCTTTAATATGATTTTGTCAACTTTTACTAATAATATTTAAAAAGCTTATTCAATTACCTTTTAGAATATATTTAGTTGGGTCATCAGAATTTTGTACGATTGTCCAAATTTTGACACGGGATATTAACGGTCTTTCCCTTTAAATTTTTTTAAAAAATTGGCCATGGTTAGGATGAGAGTGCACCCCTTTAATATGACTGTGACAACTTTTAATAATATTTAGAAAGCCTTTTTAATTACCCTTCGGAATATATTTAGTCGGATGTCCAGAATTTTGGAAGATAATGCGAAATTACACCTCTTTTATGAGCTAAAGGATTGGATAAAAAATAATATATTCTACTTTCATTTGATAGACGTAACGTTGGATTTTATTGGTTGATAAAAATAGATGAGTTTTGGCGACTGTTGGCATAATTCTGAATAGGTTGCCAACGACCGGGTTGCCAGCTAGATCGGTCGAATAGGTCGCTAGCCGAATAGGTCGCCAATTTGTGTTCGGTACAAGAACAATGGATGTGAAAACAAAGAACTTTTAGATTAACGTCTATTGCTCGATATAAAAGTTTCTTTCCGGGAGTGACAAAGCAGCTCTAATCAACAGATCGGTATATGAGGTTTGTTTGAGTCCATTTCTTTTAAATTCGGTATATTTTTCGAACAAAAGCTAATAAAGAGGTAATGAAATTTTAATTTTTGTCAATTTGTTCTTGGTTCGATTCCCGACGATGTCGGTTCAGAAAAGACCATTCATGGTATGTTGGGTTTTTTTTTGGTATCGAGGTTTAGCACGAACCCTAACCCAGAACTTCCAATGGTGTATTATTCGTGTGGAAATGACCTCGGCAATCGGCCCGAAAACAGAAAGGAAATTAAATGAAACGAGGTTTAGCGTCCTACTGTTCTGTGCCGACTGCGCTAACGTGAGAAATGAAATGACATGAAATGAGATGGGGTTTAACGTCTTATATATATAGTGTTCTGCACCGGCTGGGCTAAACTACAGCTAAACCTCGACAATGGTTCGGAATTAAGTTACATGAACTTGCAGAAGATTTCGATTACCTTATATAGAGCTCCATATCAAGATAGCGCCGTGTTGAAATAATCCGTAAGGAACATTTCATTCTTCTTTTTGTTATAATTATATTTTTCTCTGTTTTACTTTCAGTCAAAATTGCACAAGTTGAGAATAAAAAGAAAATGGCTGCTGTAATTAAGAATGTATTGATAGTATATGCTCATCAAGACCCATTGTCTTTTAATGCTGCTCTCAAGAATGCTGCAGTCCAGACCTTAGAAAGTCAAGGTTATAAGGTCAAGGTCATTGATCTGTATGCTCAGCATTTTGAACCAAGAGCTACCAGGTCTGATATAATAGGCAAGTATATTATACTAGTATCTCTCCTTCGTTCGTTCTTGGTGTTTAACGTCTGCTTCCACATAAGTGATATCGCAGACAAGACATAGGAGAGCCGAAGCTGATTCCTGTTTTTTAGAATAAGATTTTGCAATCTTTCCATTTGGCCTTAGACCATGGATTTGGTTTAGTGGGAAGTTCTTCCCTTTATTTAATATAAACATATCGTTTGGTAGATGATCTCGTCTGCTTCTGGATTGGTAGATGTCATCGTTTTAGTGTTTAGGTGTCAGCCCCGTTTTATCGTGGCCTCCCCTTACTCCACTATCCCACTCTCTGGGTTTGGTATCAGTTTTATTTGCGGAATAGTGTTTAGGTGCCGAGTTCGTCTGACCGTAACTCCCGCTTACTCCACTATCCTGCTAGTTTGGTAGATGTCATCTTTGTGGGGTTTGTGTTTAGGTGCCAGGCCCGTCTTATCGTGACCTCCCCTTACTCCACTATCCCACTCTGTAGGTTTGGTGTCTGTTTTTGGTGGAATAGTGTTTAGATGCCGAGTCCGTCTGATCGTGACTCCCCCTTACTCCACTATCCTGCCAGTTTGGTATAAATCCCCTATGTAGTTTAGTGTTTAGATGCCGGTCCCGTCTAACCGTGACCCCCTCTTACTTCACTATTCTACTTAGTCCAACTGTGTCCATTAGGGCGTGATTTGTTCGAAGATTTGCAGTTTCAGATCTGGTCTCGGGAAGAGTAGGTTCTTAGTGTTGAATGGTATGTTGTTGGTCTCCATTGTTCTCACTAGTTCCCTTCTCTCCTCCTCGTGTACCTCGCATTCTACCAGGACATGGTTGGTGGTACATTCTTCTCCGCACTCACAGATGATGACTTGGTGTTTGTAGTCTCGCAGCCGCTCTTTCACCCTTAGCTTCGATATAAGTCTACAAATATCTCTTTTAGGGTGATTGAGTGTTGTCTTTGTGTAGATCTTGTCATCCAGCCGGAATCTGTATGTGTCAAGTTCAACGAGATTTAATTCCCAGATTGAATTGACCTGTCTTTTGACCATACTGTAGATTTCCGTGGTGCTGTAGTCTATGGTGCGGAGTGGTGCTGTGTCCTTGAGACCTTCATTGGCGAGTCGATCTGCCTCCTCGTTTCCTCTAATGTTAGTCCATGTGACAGACAGATTTTCATTACCAATTTGATGAATAAATTTAACCATGATTTTCAGTTAGCCTTAGGTCTAAAGTGTCCAAAATTGGTTGATGGACATCCGGGTCACTTTGCCAAATGTGAGTTTGGCGGCCATCTTTAAAAAATGGCCGCCATTTTTTTTTATTTGAAATAGTGCAAGTCAGGGAAACCTCCACAACTCCTCAACAGGTTCACCTATGGATATGTAAAATGGCTCAAAATGTTCATAATACAATTCTAAATCTGCTGGTATATGACTCATGTTGTTTAAGAAATGCTTTCGGTTTCAAAATAAAAGATCTGAAAACAGCAATATTTTCGGGTTTTTTTTCATGATGTCTGTTCATAAGTTTACTAAAAAAAATCTTGTTCAGACCCATATAAGCCAAATTATCTATTTGGTCAACTAAAGTGATTTACTAGATATCAGAAACATTGATCATAAAAAAATAATCTCTAATATGAGTGTCCAAAATCCAAGATGGCATAAAAGTTGCTCAAATGGCCAATTTGTCAGATAATAGTTATTTCACAGTTTGATATTACATGTAATATCCAATTGAAAGGGATTACTGACCTTAAAATTTAACCAAAACACAGAGTGTTTAAAAAAATCCAAAATGGTGAATATTCATAATGGCGGCCAGAATTTCCGTAAAATGATCGATTTTCTGTTTAATGTAGCTTGTAATGTAGCTTGTAATATGTCTTTTTAAGCAAATGACACACTATTTGTGGATAACAATTACTAAAGTTTATTTCACTGTGACGTTTCAACAAGATTTTACATGTCGTTATCATGTTTTTACTGTTATGGCCTATTGCTCGTGGTTCATTATACCGCTTGAATAATTGTTTGATCTTTTGTTCTTGTGCTTATCTATACCAATTACAGTTTATACCTGTATATGTGCATTTGATTATCTAACGGCTTGGGACACTACAATGCCCATACCAGCTGACTTTCCTTCGAAGAAAGCAGATGACTATTAAAATGGGTTCGTCTGTCCGTCCGTCACACTTTTTGGGACACAATAAGTCTCTTTCTAATTGAGCAAGAATGTTCAAACTTGGTGTAGGTGTTTATTAGGTCAATGCCTTGATGGAGTTCGAAGATGAGAATTTTTGCTTAGGGTAAGCAGAGATAAGCAATTTGATTGGACACGATAGTACTTTAGTTCTAATTAAGTGAGAGTGATAAAACTTGGTGTATAGTTTCATTACATCAATACCTTGACTAAGTTCGATAATGAGAGTTTTCTGCTCAGGGTAAGCAGAACGATAAGCAATTTGATTGGCCGAGACTTTAGAACACAATAACTCTCATTCTAATTGAGGTAGAATGTTCAAACTGGGTGTAGGCGTTCATTTAATGAATGCCTTGATGGAGTCCGATGATGAACATTGTCTGTTTAGGGTAAGCAGAGATAAGCTATCTGATTGGTTGATGCTTTGGGGCATGATAACTTTGGTTATAATGAAGTGAGGGCGATATTAGCATGACTAAGTTCGATCGTGAGAATTTTCTGCTTAGGCTAAAGAGCGATAAGCAATTTGATTGGTCAGGAATAACTCTGCTTTTAATTAAGGTAGAATGCTGAAACTTGATTTAGCTGAATGTCTTGACTCAGTTCAGTAATTAACATTTCGGGCTAAAGCAAAGCAGAGCTAAGCAATTTCAATGATCGATGCTTTGGGACAAGATAACTTTGATTCTATCTGATAGACAGTGATGAAACTTAGTGTATAGTTGATAATCAGTTTGATTGCTCGATACTTTTGAAAAAAATAAATGTGCGATTAATTAATATGGGTCATCTATTTATTTAGGTATTTCGACGGGGTCATCAGCCTCACTGTTGGCTTGTTTATTAATGTTATATGCTTGGTAAGGACTTGTGAAATCTTGTTGAAACGTCGCAGTGAATTAAACTATAGAATTTGTTATCCATAAATAGTGTGTTATTTGATTATGCTTCAATTACTAAATGCCTGACCCCATGACTCACCTACAATGCCCAACTAGTCTTATGCGGGACATATTGTGATCAATGGCCAACTGATAGCAGTGGCGGATTGGGCCATCGGGCGATCGCCCGATCAGACAAAAAAATGAAAAATATAATTTTGTCCAATTCGTCTAAAAAACCTTTTTCTGCTGAACATTATATGGTGGGGGGGGGGGGTATTGGACCGGCCATGGAACTACGATGATGTGGCCAGTGTCTTTAACGGGCCGCGACGCCATCACTGGAGTCTGGAATGGGCTGGTAAAATAGACTTTCTGGGCCGGGTGTGCTGGGTGTGGGCCGGAATTCGGAATCCTGCAATGGGGATTCCGAATTCCATCACAGGAGGAATCAACTAGCGCTCCCGGCAACAAAAATGGGACATTTTACAATGAAAATATTCCTACTTATTCAATATTCCTAACTGGTTAATCAAATGGTCAAAATTTTCTCAACTAGTCCCATTTTTAAACCAGTTAAATTCTCTTGACTCTTGACGATACAATGATAATACGTTAATTAATAATATGACGATATGATCATTTCACAGGTTGATGGTTGTAAATTACTTGTAGGTCGGGGTTTTGGCCTAAATTAATCGATTTATGAGATATATTATTTGACAAAGATTATAATCAGATATGCCACCAAATCGCATATTTGGGGTTCATTAAAAGGGGTAGCTCCGACAAGGGAGCCCGGACCGGTTCCCGGCCCCAATCCGCCCCTGACTGAACGTGTACCACTATATTTATCCCTGATCTTGCTTGACCCATTACCCACCTAGCTAGAGTGTCAACAATTTTAATGCGTAACCTACAGTTCCCAACAATTTTAATGCATGGTCTAGTCTGACCCACCTAGCAATTTTTGTGTCGTTTTTTTCGTTATTTATTGATTTTTCGATATTTGGGGTTTTTCGGTAATTAGTATCAAAAAAGTTTTTTCGGTATTTTGTCTGCATTTTTCGGTACTTTTAAGATTTTTATCTCGGTACTTTTCGCATTTTTTCGTTATATGGTACAACCGAACCGGTTTTTCATCAAAGACTCTATGCCTGGCAACTTTTGTGGTATAGTCTAGATAACGTATCCACAGATCCATTTCACAACAAGTTGAAAGTTTAAAAAGAATCGTTGCGAAGATAATTTGAAATGCATTAACGACTAGGCATCACAAAAGTAATGTCGACCAATTTCTTCTTTCGCTTTAGGCAGGCCTATGATATTAAAAGGATATCATCATTGTCGCTGTCCAGATCTCCTGTTTCTTCTTGTACTTTGGCTAGTGTCCATTGCTGAAGAAAAACAGTAGTTGCGATTGTCACAGTAATTCCAATGAGGTGGATGGTTGTGACATTAACAAAGAGGAAATCGTGAGCCATGCTTTTGGGTAAATGTATTTCAAATTATCTCTGTAATTATCATTTTTAAACTTAGAACTTGTTGTGAAATACATTTTACACTTTACACTTTCACAATTGACAAATATGAATCCATGATACCATCTGGCTAGATTCTAGATGATACCACAAAAGGTTGCCAGACTCTTCAAAGTAAAAATCTATCATATTACCATTTGTGGACCAGAAATGAAATGCAATGTGGGTTAACGTCCTACTGTTCTAAACTTGGTCAATGCAGATGGCTATTCGTCATACAGTGTGAAATGAGGTAAAATTTGTCCAGACACAGGGGTCGAATTCCGGACCTCGTTGAGCCTTACCCACTGAGCCACTATTTCGGCCAATTTATAAACAAACAGAATAGATAAATTCTTAACAACTAGATATATTTGCAAAGATATATTAAAATT